CTCTCTTTCTCTCTCTCTCTCTCTTTCTCTCTCTCTCTCTCTCCACACTCATAGCCCGGAGCCCTCTCTACGACCACATGACTACAACACTGTCGGGTTTGCCGACAATTCGTGCCTTCAAAGTGCAGGACCTGTTTGTTCGACAGTATTATCGCCATCAGAACGATCACACGTCCGCTTATTTCATGTGTATCTCCGCCTCAAGAGTTTTAGGTGATATCCCAAAGCGGTTCCCTATGGCATACGCTCTGCCCCTAACACTAACCGCCCGGTGCTCTCTCTGTCATTACAGGTGTGACAATGGACTGGTTGTGTGTGTCATACCTCTTCTGTGTGACACTGTTTCTCATGGTTTATCATAAGGGTATGGCTTTTGTATTGATCCCATTGTCTCGCAACTGATCCATTGTCTTAACGCCACAGACTTGGAGAGCGGCAGCGCTGGCCTGGCCTTCACTCTGGCCATGGGTTTGGCGGGAATGGCTCAGTGGGGGGTCCGGCAGTCGGCCGAATGCGAGACCCAAATGGTGTCCGTCGAGCGTATCGTCGAGTACAGCGGTCTCGAGCCGGAGACCGAGCCTACAGACAGCGTACAGTCGCCGCCCCGGGAGTGGTTACAAACCGGTCGCATAGAGTTCGTAGACGTGTCGCTCCGGTACCCGAATCGAGCGGAACTGGCGCTCAACGGACTAAACCTGGTGTTTACGGGCGGACAGAGGGTGGGTGTTGTCGGCCGGACGGGCGCCGGCAAGAGTTCACTGGTGGCCGCGCTATTCAGACTACACCCGACCGGTGGCCGTATACTCATCGACGGCGTCGATCACCGGACAGTACCCGTCGGCGAACTCCGGCGCCGGTTGTCTGTCGCACCGCAGGAAGCGATAGTCTTCGGCGGCTCTGTTCGCCACAATCTGGACCCGTTTGACGAGCACCGGGACGACCGGCTATGGGAGGCGTTAGAGGCCGTACAGCTCCGGCAGGCGTTGCTGGAAATGCCCGCACAGTTGGCGCACGAGTTGACGGACGGCGGCGCCAATCTATCGGTAGGTCAGCGCCAGTTGCTATGTCTGGCGCGGGCTATACTGCGCCGCTCCCGCATCCTTGTCCTCGACGAGGCCACAGCTTCGGTCGATCCCGAGACCGATGCGCTCATACAGCGAGCCATTGGCCGCCATTTTGCCGCCGCGACTGTACTGACAATAGCCCATCGGCTGCACACTGTTATCGACTCGGATCAGGTGCTGGTGATGGACGCCGGGAGGGCTGTAGAGTACGGGCCGCCCCACGAGTTGTTGGCCTCGAGTGAGAGTGTGTTTTACGGTTTGGTCGCACAGACGGGTCCGCAAATGGCCGCTGAGTTGCGCCGCGCGGCCAAACAGGCTTATGATGAACGCCGGTCGGGTGACCACAGACTAGACTAGTCTGTAGAGTAGTTGACACTCTTAAACAGTTTAGGTAACTGTCATATGTAACTCGTGTTCACGGAGTTGTGGTCATCACCTGAAAGAGACTATCGATGAGTGTTTTTCGGAGTGTTTTTAAATAATGATTTTAATAATTAATAAACAAAATGTTTTTATTAACAAATATTATCGCATTATAAAGTTAATGAAATAATACTACTTAATTATGTCCTTTAAGATTATTTAGCAAACATGTTATAGCAAGGTTCTTTATTAATGACAAAATAATTAAACATAACTTTCATAAATTATTTATAAAATATTGGTATATTTGTTTACTGTTAGTCCTTATGTATTTCCAGTATAGATAGAGTTGTAA